TTCATATCTCTTAATAGGTATGTAAAAAAGTATTTTAATAATAATAACAATCTTATGAAAATGCAAAACCTATTAAGACTTCAAGGGCTTTGGTACACAGATTGGGAACAAATATATTTAATACACTATTTTTTGTTTTAAGTCAACTATCGCTCAATACATATAAGAAACAGTTTTCTACACACAAATTGAGTTCATAAACAAAAAATAGTAAGTTATTTAAAAATAAAATAAAAACACATACAAATAAAAAGTGATTTTTACTTTTCTATTTAGTTATATAAAAGAGCATTTTTGTTTTATAAAATAAATTTTTTATTCATCAATACATTGGATTCCATGCAATAAATCACATTTACGGTATAATACGGGATTAAAATGAAAATACAAAAACACCATAATTTCGAAATAAATATTTTTAATGCTTTAGTCCAATAAAATCATACAATAAATGCAATTATAATTACGAAAAACTCAGTGTTAATACCGATTCTAATGTTGAGATTATTACCACTCGACGGGTCCCTCAATGTGAACACAACTCGTATCATATCTAAGGCTATTTCGCATACTTTGTGGGCGTGATTGACATTATCCTGGCCGTCCAGTATACCACCGCCGCTGCATATCATGTATGCATCGCCTATTGTCTCCACCTAATGCCCGGTCATTCAAATAACCGATTAAGTCGTCGAGAGAAAAGGTTTATGTATTCAAATATATTTAAATATAAAAGCAAAATACAGATAAAACTTATCGCACAAAAAGTGTCATAAATTTCTATGAATATTATTAACCCCTAATCAATAGGTCTAATAAATGCGAGTAAATTGCTTAGGCATTAGTGGTTAATATTTGTGGTAATTAATCTATAAAATAAAATAGTCCTGATATCTGTAACGGCCATAAAACAGTAGTAAAATATTTGCATTTATTATGTGACATAAAAGAGATTTTTAAAGCAAAAATATTATACATTAACATTTCTCTAAAAAACTAAATCTTTATTTCCTAAATACCGATCACTAGTAATGATATATCTCTGCTTAAAATCTATAGTTAATTTCATTTGTAATGCCTGTTAACTAATAGCACTGATTGATAGTACAGTAGGAAAAAAGTGATAAAATATCGAATAGAGGTTTAGGTGAACACAGGTGTCAGTGCTTTTATAACACTGTATTATATGCCCACAAAACTGATGGACAATCGGGGAAAAAATGGGCAAAAAAGTCGTGACTCGATATATTGAATTCATATTATTAACACAAATAACCAAAAATGTGTGGAAAATGTAATTATGATTCACATATAAATTACATGTAATGTGAATGCTATGATATTACTGTAGACTAGTTTATGGAAAATAACTTTTCAGATGAATAGTGATGCGAATGATGTGGACATACCTTATAAACGCAGTGTCTTTCAGTGAGTTCATCAAACATACTGTACATGGAGTTCAACATATTGACGACTTGCATAGGGGTTATGCGACTACATATGACCGTGAAGTTGACGATATCCGAGAATAGTATTGTCACACACGGGAAGTACTATAATCATGGGACAGGTATGCCGGTAGTGATTAGTGGAGTAATTAATTAAATACGTTGTGATATGGATCTCTGTATGGCATACCTGACAGGTATCGATAGGATTCTCTCCCCTCCGAAGTCTGTCCGCAATCTTTTTGGGGATTTGTTTTGACAAAAAAGTATTTTAATAACTATTTTATTGTGTTTTTCAGTGCTATTTATAAATGACTTATCATTTGGTAAAGCAATTCATCGGTCCTTTTCATCTCTTCGTCCAATTTGTCCATCGATTCCTCCAATTGTTTGCTTTTATGCAACTCTTGGTCTGAATATTATGTGTAATTTTTAAGTGTTTTAAAAGTTCAACACAAAAATCAGAGTGGGGTTGACATGTATGTGTTTAAAATACACACATAAATTAAATTAATTAAAGTAGTGTTTAAGCAATAAAGCGATTTGTTGTGCAAATTAGGTTTTTTTTCTAAACAGTTAAGTGCATGTATTATATTAAAGTCATACCTAAAGCTAACTTGAGTTCAGCTGTTTGTTGCTGTCCGGCCAATACCTGTTTGATTGAACGGGCAAATTGGGGACTGGGATTAGAAATGGTGTGTTCAATACTACCATACGGCTAATCGATAATAAGTAGCTGTTTTAATTAATTTACATTTGCTTTATTTTCTTGTATACGAATACATAGTGTGAATGAATTTTGAGATATTGTATAACTTTTTACTTGAAAAAACTTCTCAAATATTTTTGAGAGAATATAATTTATTTCTCATAAATATGTTTTGAAAAATTAATAGTATTTTTCTCTCTCAAAACGATTATAACAATCATCTGATAGTATCTCTCGTTGTTGTAAAACAAACAATAATTATATAAACATTTCGTAATCTCGAGTGTAATTCTCATAAGGATTTAGAGTGCAGTCGATATTAAATGCTCAGGTAATTGATGGCTCATGATTTTTAGCTAACAATTTATAGTGATTTAAAATGCACTTTTTAATTGTAGTCAATGAATGCCATGTTGTTTAGTGGTCTTAACATTGATTTATCTCAACAAAACAAACTCTTTCTCTCGAGATTTTTTTAATACACAAATTTAGATAAGAATCAAAGAATATAACAGTGTTTTTGTCTGTAATATATGTATTGATAATAACATGCAGTGTGTATACAAATGAAATTCAAATTTCTCGGCCAAAATCTAAGGCTGTTTTTCAAGTATTTTTTATTATCATTGTATATTTATCAATATTTATAATATAAATTTTATATGTGAAACAAACAACTAACTCATTGTGTGTCTCGGAAATACGGTATAATTTTTTTCTCCACTTTCTTTTGGAATTGTTATTTTATTTTAATATAAAAATGCATTTAATATAAAGTTTATTTGCATTGAATAGCAATTTTTTAAATTAAAAATTTCTATTTTATACGCAAAGTTGTTGTAGTTTTTTAGAAAGTCTCATTCAATAGGGAAATAAGGTTTAAATTCTTGTTTCAATTTAATATATTGTTTGTGTGTTTTAAATTTATTGACTGACTTTTGACAAACAAATACTTTATTCTATGTATTATTCTGTATATAAAATGGTATTTAATCTAATTATTCACATTTGCGGATATAATCAAATTGTAATTTGACTTTTCGTTTCCATTATTTGAATGTATTTAATGCGAAATATAATCAAAAAATAGTTTAACTTCGAGAGAGAGAGAGAGAGAGAGAGAGAGAGAGAGAGAGAGTTGAGTCGATTTTATGATTTGATTAATTGTTTTATAGATCTCTATTGAAAGGTTAAACAATATTTTTTATTACATTTAATTTTTTTATTAGTATTAGTTATAAAAGTCAGGTATTTGCGCATAAAATCATTCATAAGATTTATATGTTTTGTTTTTGACTGTGGTTTGCATTCTGTTGTCAAAACATGAAATATTTGATCGGAAAATGTGTTTCAAATTGTGCTTTCAATCGCTTAATCAATGAGAAATAAGTCCTTAAAACTCTTGTCCATTGTATTGCATATTTGATTCATTAAAATATTCAATACAACAACAAAAATATATGTATCAATAGTTTTGCACAAAAACCCAATGATTTTGGTGTCTATTAAACTAAATTTTTAAATGAACGGCTCATGCGATGGATATAATGGTATAGATTTTTAATGGGAATAAATTTTCTGCAATCAATATATGGATTAAAAATTGTGTCAAAAAATGTTTGGATTTGTTGTGTGAGAGGAAAGGGTTTTTGAATAAATCACACGAGAATTAAATGTAACTTTCGTTTTCCATACAAATGTATAATGAAATCAAATAAATCAAATGTAGTGAACAAAAATTTCCGATTTTATAAGTAGTTTTGTAATCAAAAATTAAACATTAACTTCACTGGAAAAATTTCTAACTAATAATAACTAAACAAAACACCTTTCAAAACGTTTCCACCACCAAATTATACGAAACAAAAGTATTTTTAATTAAAAATCAGTTCACAGTTTAGTTTTGTAATTCAGTTGTTTTAAATTTAGAGTAAAGTTTTGCTTTAGATTTAAATTTTAAAACAATTTTTAATGAATTAAAATTTTTAATGAATAAAAACTTCATGAGTACCGTATGTATGGGTAATAAACGCCTAAACACTGGAGAAAACAAAACAAAATCTCATACCATATCACGACTGAAGTCATGAAGACTTAAATCGTTTAAATAAAGTCCGGTGCGAGTCATGGCCTCCACATCTGCTATGCTTTTAGGATTATATAAGAAAATGGGAAAGTCGTTTAAATTGATTGCATAACACATTAAAATGTGTATCTGTAACACGTAGTCCTGCCAAATTGAAAGTATAAACCTATTTGTTAATTACTAACGGTTTGGTTAGTTATAGCAAAAGGAAAATATGATTTATCTCGCATACTATATAAAGTGAATAACATTTCAAATAAAAAAAATTTTGATGTATCTATTTTTTAGTACACTAATCATAACTTAATTATAACGAAAGTTAACTTTTATTACAATGAGAGCAATAATTAATTATAACGATTATATGGACTAACTTGGGTGCAGCCAAATAGATCATACATTTCCATTCGTCCATATATAACATCTGGCCTTTAAGTCTAAGTAGATATTCATGACCTAAAAAATGTATTATATTTATCACAAAGTGTATGAAACAATACTTTTCTTGTGAGAATTTATAATTTAATATTTATAGATAAACTTTAAAATAATATTTATTATTAAACAACTTTCTCTCTCTCTCTCTCTCTCTCTCTCGCTTACAGTCAATGGAATCAATGCTATCAATGGTATTATCTTCGCTCGCATTTGTATCACATTTGAGATCTAAATTATGTTTAGAAGAATCGCGTCTTAAGGGCTGAATGGATGCCAATTCAAAGGTTGTATTCAAATGGCCAGAGATCTGTATAAATAATAAGTTTTTATGGAAATAATTATCCGCTTATTTTAATTGTTATTTTAACTTTCGCTTTACATTTCAATGACATTGCTATTGAAATGCGAGAATTAATTGTTTATTTTCCTTTGAGACGTTTAAAATAAGTTTTAATAATAAATGGATTGTAATATAAAATATTCTGCTATACATACCGAGAGCCAATTATAGCCAACCTTTGGCTTTAATAAAGTGAATACTGTAGGCAATATGTTTCCTACTATATCGGGCAATACTACCTGTGAATGGGAAAAATATAATAAATTTAATGTAATTAATAACACGTTTTCAAATCATTTACAATGAATTTAATGTAATTTTATTCTAGCGATTGAGGCATTTATTTGGATTTTTGGAAAACACTAATAAATTTATTCCTAACAAACAAATTATGATACAAATGAAGAGGTTTTTGGAGGTAAGTGAACGGAGACTAAAGGAACAACACCTCAAAAGGTAGCGAAGTATCTGATGAACACTCACTTGAAGGCAACCGCCGACCGCTTTGATGGTGAGATCGGAGTCAAAGACCAAACAGAAGGGGAAGATCTGGAACAGAGATTTAGCCCTCAATGGCATCAACGACATGGGGGTCGCCGACAGGCTCTCGGTGTGCGACCGCTGGGCCGACAGCTGCCGGAGCTCGCAGAAGGCCTTGTTGTCAAACTGGAGGTTCAGTATATAGTAGTACTCTTCGTTGTCGTATCTCTCGGTCACGATCTCTGTCGTGACGTTTGTCTGATAGAAATGACGGCCAACTTCCTCGATCTGCCCGATCGTATACCACAAGAAATACTGCCGTTTGGACCGGTAGTGAAGTGTCATTCCCTGTTCCGTCTCGTTGTTCACGAAATATGACGGAGGCTTGAGTTTAGGGTAACTGAAGCGCAGGTATTCGTGAAGATTGTCCAATCCGTTGAGGAAATCCCGAAATTGTCGACCTGTTCACGCAGTTATGGGATTAGAGTTTAGTATTTGCGGGGTTAAATTAGGACTGACCCAGCACCGATAGTATTTTGTCATATCCATAGACACCGACTAGTGATACAAATGAAACGCCAATGTTGTAGAGGTATTCCCTTTCAGTTATACCCAGGACCTGTTGATTTATAATAAAATTTTTGCTAATGTTTAGGTATATTTTATTTAGTGTTTACTTTTATAAATTAATAATAGCATACGGTTATTATCTAACGTGATATACAAACTATGTATTTATTTGTAATTAAATTGTAGATTAAAATATTTGTATTAATTTCAGTTATTTAAAATCTTACAGTTTTAAAGCATTATTAAGTAAAAACTTATACTTTAAGTTTAGTTTGCATTTGTTTTCTCACAAATATTTATTACACCATTTGATTGATTTGTGACAAGTCTTATAGAGAAAGCACACATACTTTGAGGTGAGAGTGAAAAGGAATATAGAAATTAAATATTAAATAACTATTTAGTGAATTAAGTGTAACTCCAATAATTGATTGTTTGGACTAAGCCTTAGAAAAATGAGGAAATGCTCTCAAAATACTGAATCACATAGAAATCAATGCATTATATTAAATATGATATGTCCTTTGTTTAATATGTCGTAAATACTTTCACGTTAAAATGTAAAAATTAGTTTAAGTTTAAGTTTCCCAAAACAAATTTAATCAATTTTTCAATTTTGTTAGGGTAAGTTTTTGAATTAAATTTTTGTGTATGAAATTTTTGATTAATAAGTAAGTTTCTTTTATATGTAGTAATTATTTTTACAAATAATTGTATTTTTATCAATTATTATGTTAACTATTATGTCAAAATTAATTAATAGATTAATATCTTGATCGCACTCTGAAATATATAAACTTCAAGTCAAATACATATATTTATTACAAATGTGTCTATTATTTGTCTCAATAATAAAAAACTTGGAAATGAGAGTAATGTTAGTCTCAATCATAATTGAATCCATTAATTAGTGGTCTCTCCATAATAATAATGTTAATAATCATTTAAATTGAGTTTTGGTTTAAATATTAGATAAAAAACAAATTTATGAAAGAAACACATTAAATATTAATAGAAATTATAAGTGGGAAAAATGGTTTTGATCACAGTTATTGATTAATATCAGGTCAAAAATGCAAACGTGTATTAAGTATTGTGGGGTATACTTTGTGTATGCTTTTAATTCAATGATCACTTGTTGCCAATATCGCTGAATATCTTAAATGTATTAAAGATTATAAAATAAATCGCCAAAAAATATTACTGATTAGACACCAAAAACACAAAACATATTAATATAGTTAAAAATCCTTGCGAATTAAAATGTGGAGCGTTTTTAATATGAAATACATTTTTTTAATGTATATTAAATTTTGTATTATCAAAATGTGTTTTTATGCGCTTTAGATAATTGATAAGATTTTTGTGACGGATTATAAGATATGTTTTTTGAACGGAATTACATTTATTCAGTGAAATGCATGTAAAATATTGAACCGCTTTTAGGCTCTAAGATAACAATTACATGACTTACAGGTATAGTGGGGCTGGAAGTGGTCGGTGGGGGTACTCATAATGGGGATTCATATCCTGATACTATTAACTTATTATACTTATTATACTAATCAATAATCATTAATAACAATTTAAATCAGCCTTGGTTATGCCCGGTACGATAGCCAGAGTGTGACTTCAATTAAGGTATTTAATCATAAAATTAAATCTAGAAAATATTTAAAATTCTTTATAAGTTACTCTATTGATAATAATAGATAAGGGAAATATATGCATACAAACTTGAAATTTGTTTTAAACCGTATAAAACACACATTCATTAAATAGATTTGCTTTAATTTTATCATTTGTTTGGTACACAAAGAGTTAATCAATTAATTATCAATTTATTCATGTCTTGAAGGGTTATATTGGAGGCAAAAAACAAACATTATTTCAGTGAAACGTAAGATATTTTAATTTAATGTGAATATTAAGAGAAAATTTGTATTAAAGGGTTATAAACAAAATATCCGACTAATTATCTGCTAATACATATCATTAAAAATCATATTTATAACCGATAGTAAAATAAATAAAAGTTCATTACACGCCTAAAGCCTGTGATTAAAAATTATGAATGACTGAAACAAACAAAAATTTTTGTATAAAATATATAATTTGTTAATTAAGTATGTAGTCAAAGGGATTTGTGAATAATAATCGCAAATGTGGTATAAATACTATCAATAAATTAATTAATGGCTTATAATTATTCAATTAAGTGTACTAAAAGAAAAATAAATTTTGATTAATTATAATTTTTGGTTTTAAATATTTATATTGTTGTTTAATAATCTTTTGTACAAATAACAAGTATTGAATTGAATAACATGTATAAAACTGTATTAAAATTAATTCTAGTTTTTACGAGTTAATGTTATTATAACGGTTATAATTAAATGTGATTTATCTTTATAAAAACAAAAATCAGAATTGATTTTGATCAGGATTTTTATTGGCATTACTGTTGTGTAAATACAATAAAACATTAGGATGCCAATGCACAGTATGTCCCCTAAATAAACACAAATGCAATTAAAGTAGAAATATTTTATTTATTTTCATAAAAATGTCTCCAAAGACTTGTCCAGCAAAAACTAAGTCAAGCTTATCTTTATTAGCCTTTAATGTCTTAACTCATTCTTACTGTGCAGTCAGTAATAAAATCATAAATCGATAAAAATTTAATATAAAACACAATTATTGTATAAAAGTTTATAATAGCAAAAGAGTAGTAATACTAATATACTGGTAACAATTAACATACATAATTCATATTAAATTATCGTTGCTTACCTTCATAGCCTGAGCCGTAAGTCTGGGCACATAACTATCAGGATAAATTTTGTGTATGGAAAAGGTGGGCTCTTTGACTTTAGCCAACTTCCTGATCTCATCCCAGGCATCCCTACCATACCGTTTGCACGTGTGTTGGTGTATATTCTCTAATATCAAGCCATACATTATTCTTGGCTACAGAATCACAGAATACGATATGTTGTGTCCAATGAGTGGTTTGAGTGAACAATAATGAAAAGACAACAGTTGTCCCAAATGTCAGCAGAGATGTAGTGATGTCGTGTGAGATGTTTTCAAATGTAATGCCATATCTTCGTACAGACATGAAATAAATTAGAAATAGTTTTCTCTAAGTTATATAATGTGTGACATAAATAATATTAATATGAATATTGCTTTTAGCCAATTCTCGAGTTACATTCCAATTATATAACCGAATGTATTGGCATTTAATAGAAAATAATTAGCATAAGTTACTTTTATATTATATTTCTGTCTTAATGGGAACTGTAAGAGCACTTACACATGACATTCAAATGCATTAAAAGGTAAATACAGTATAAGAATTTATCGCAAAGTAAGACAATATTTAAACACAATTCAAATACAGTATACTTATAAATAGTGTGTATCTCAAAGACAATAGACTTATAACTTATGCACACAAAAGCGACAAAACACTGTTACACTTGAATACTGTACATAAGAAACTACTTATTGAAAAGACTTCTTAATACTAACGGTCTTTATATTTATAGAATATTCTCTCAATTCCTGTTGCGATGACTGACTATTTGGCCTAAAATGTTAACAACGATTACAACTCCCTATCCCTTCAACTAGTATTGACTTGCGAGGATAGAGGAAAGAGATGTCGGTTCTCATAGCTCTCTCTCCCTATTCACCAGAATTAATGGCTTATAGACATGTCATCTCATTGGACACACAAAACTCTCTCTATCTCTCTCTCTCTCTCTCTCTCTCTGTCCAATATCTCGTTTCTTTTATAACTCTTATTTCACTCATTTTTTATCGCAATTTGTGTCTCTGTTTTCTGTGAATGTATCCATACATTAATTTATTCATTCAAATGCCATACCATTATATAAATTCTTATTATACCCTAAAAACTCTATTATGAATATGATTATCGTATGCAATAAAAGAATTTATTAAAATTAATTTGATTTATATATTCAAGCTCTTATTATAAAAGAATAAATATATTATGATGAAAATAATAAATTAAATTCATTTATATACTGGATTTCCAATTTGGGTTATATTTTTAAAATTGATTACAAATTTTTGCCCATAACTATTACTTAAATCTTATAAAATATTCAGGACTTTATGATTGCCTTTTTATTTATGTGTTATAATAGATAATAGAAATATTTTATTTGTATGTATGAAATCAATATTTAATATGTTTGAATAAGCTGTTTTATTTAAAGTGATACGGTAAATGGTTATAAAAAGTATTAAATTTTGTTTTTAACACATTTTTGTTTTTAAATGTCCGGAATTTTTTGAGTATTTTCATCATAAATATAAATTGAAACACAATTGTTTCAAACAAAACGTTATAAACATCTGTCTAATCATAACTTAATTATGAGAGTCGGGCAAAGAATTCATAAAATATAAGTTAAATATTCAATATAACTATATTTATTAACTGAATTATATAAACAGATGCCTGAAGTTACTATAATATTTTATAGTAGTAAATAATTTAGTGTTATGTCTAAAACTACGGTTCAATTGTGAACTAGTGTTGTAAATGTCGGGCCATTGGGGGATCATATATCAGACAACAGATTACTTAAGCAATTAATGATTAAACTATTAAGCAATAAAAACATTATTAATAATTAAGGAGTTGTTTAGGAAATAGTTTGCACTCTCACTACTCAAAATATATATACATGTAATATTGAATGAATTAGCTAGGTAGAGATTATAAGACTTATTATAACTATTGTTATAACTTATAAAAATAATAACAATGATTTTCAATAACTAAGAGATCGATTAGTAAGAGATTGAATGCCATGTGTTTTGTTAGCAAAGCCTATTATTTAGTGACCAACTGTGAGACAAAGCAATTGTATTATTTGCTTGTAATACGAATCGATTATAAACTTTAGGATAGAATTCCCAGAATTAATCTATTGCTCAATAGTACAGACTTTGGAAATCTGTTTTCTTAAGAAAATTCTCTTAATGCTATCAATTACTAAATAAAAGTAAAAGTTTTAATTAAGACTTATTTGATAGATAAGTTAAATAGACTTATTTCCCTTGGAAATGTAAAGAAAGTGGGAATTAAAGTGTAACTAAATACTCATCAAATATGTACCTATAAAATATGATTTAATTATTATTTATAAATATTATCAAAAGATATACTAAATTAATTCCAATATACGTGTATTTGAAATTTAATTATTTAAACAGTGCAAATAAATAAATATTGTATAGTGTTAAAGTTACAAACCTTCGTTTCCAATGAACTAGATGGAATTTTAATTTTTTTTGACTATATTTTTAACTCACAAAAATGTAACTTGCAAATGTTACATCTCTCGACAACAGTGTTTACAAATTACTCATACTGTATGTATAATATAATAAAAGTTATAAAAATTATTTTTTGGTTTATACAGTACTGTATAACATTGGCTAATACAGTATTAGATTTAATGATATTTACTAATGATTCTGTATGTTAATGTTTATATCAGTTGTGATGCTAACATATACCTGTATAATAATAAATGGGATTATTAATAATAACATATATTGCATAATAATATATGGAGTTGCTTGTACATGTGCACATTTCTAATGGACACAAATGTTTTAAATTACAAAACACCATTAACTTTATTGAATGCTAATCGATATATTTGTCAATCAAATGCTAAACATTAAGAATAGTAACTGAAATGCATAAACAATAGTCTGTAATGTTTCTAAACCTTATAAACCCTATCGACTGCATTTAAAACTGCCTTGCACAAAGTTAAATAATCGTGCGTATATTCAGCTTGCGACATATCACATTTCTCATCAGGTTTAATGTTCAGTTCTTTCTCGACTTCCAGAGCAAATGCTAAATAGATATGGTAGTTGTTATGTATAAACTCCTTGGCTATTTTATAACCATCGTACAACTTGACTGCCTGGTTGTAAAATGAGTGACAGGCACTATTTAAAACACCAAGATTACATTAGTCAACAAAAACTATAGTTATTAATGTCTACGTTGTTTCAAAATTACCATAATATATTAGATAGCGTAGCATTTTTATCTACACCATCAGCAATCCGGGCAAGGTAATTAATAAAGCGATTATGAATCTTCCGACTTTGGCTAAGTTTTGCATTGAGTTGTTTGGCTAATTTCAATGGTTCAGGGTGTTTACAAATGCCTTCAAGTGTCGTACCAACTTCGGCAGGCGTCACCATTTTCATTGCGATGCCTTTCGTGGTTGACTTTAACGATTTTACCCATTGTATGCCAGTACTTATGAACTTAACGTTAAAGCTAAATTTGGAATTTAAATTACTATCCAGGTGATACTGTATGCAAAAATAATACCCTTTATCAGTAACAACATATGTCTCGTTAAGGCAATAAAGTTTGAGTGCCAGTGCCGTACCGGGCATTGCTTTACCCAATGGCTCTTTCCTTGTTAACATCCTTTCGAACTCATCGATCCCGGGTATATCGTCAGCGATCACGTGCGCTAAAAACACGGATCAATTAGAAAAAAATCACATAGTATGCGCCCGAAATAATTACTAATGGATCTAGCTCTGTGTTTAGCTAGACATGGTTACACATGATTACATGATGTTTACTTTAGATAAATAGTATTGCTAATTGTATATTATTAATTGGCCTGTTAATACCATAATCATATATCACCAGGGAGAGAGTCTAGTAGATTTTATTAAACAAATTTAATTTAACATATTTTAATTTCGATATGAGTTAATTAAGATATTACAATAAAAATGCTGTAACAACACTATAAATTTCACATACTGTGTATTTAATATGCAGACATTTTATTTTTAAAATATAATTGTAAACATTATATTATTAAAGTTTTAATTAATTAATTATTAAAATGCTTAATATAAGTTTACTCACGATCTATATTATATTTAACCTACCTATAATAATTACGCAAATCATTATGATTAAATACATTTGATTTCTATTTATCATTTAATTGTTTTATGTTAACTGTTAAGTATTTTTTTTTAAATAAATGAAGTAACACTTTAAATCCACTTTTGATAGTTATTAGATTAATTAACTTATATATTAGCTAATACAGTATATAAATGTCTTATTGAATTAATTGGGGACGTCAATTATAATATTCACAAAACTTTTAATATCATAAAATAATGATGTTTAAAATTACTCATGTTTTCCCAATAAGTGGACATTTATACAATAGGGATAATTCTAATTTTGTTACAATAATTTCTTAATTCGTATTAATTATAATTATTTATTGCTGACCCTGGTTATATCACTGGGTCATACAAAAGTCAATGAATACGTGTTACAATGCAGTAAATCAACGCTTTATAGAGACTTTAAAATCTGAAGTTATTTATTATGAATTAATACGAAATATTGAACTTATTAAATGCATTTAGCTATAGTGTTTTCAATTCAATTAATTTTATTACCCTAAAAGTTGTTGATTAACTTATTAGATAAAAATATAATTTTTAATTTGTTTTAATTAAAAACTGCACAAGTTTGTATTCAATGTAATATCCGATCAAAATATTTATAATTTTATTATTAAATTATGTTTTAAAAGTAAAACAACAAATTGTGTAAAATTAAGGATTTTTATAAGACTTTTGTAATTTTTATATTAAATTATAAATTCCGGTTATAATTAATTGATTGTTGAGTGTTATCGCCACATCTAAGGTCTATAATTACAATAATTATCCAATTAATGATTCAAATCATAATTTTTAGATGTAATAAGCGATAAAATTTTACGATAAAAGTTAGTTTTCATAAAACAATTATAAAATATTACCAAATAATTTAAGCACAATTAAATTATGTTAAAAATTATAAAACAAGTATAGATGAATAACCTGATATTAAATATATGAAAATAGTATACAGTTTTGTATACCATTCACTCATCAAGAATATTCTGTATGGCATTCAAAACGCTGTTAAATAAGCACAGAATATATTCACACGTTATTTATATACAAAGTACTCAACAAACAGCTGATTGTGAAGCGGTTTAGCGTTCACTGAATTTCCCATTGAATGCAACGTTAAGCGAGAAAATGATTTACAAATCAAACAAAAGTCTGTCTATTAATAGTTGTTATCATTAGTACTTATAATCAGTGTTCACAAACTAATCACTGGTTTTATAGGCAAACAATCAAATGCCTTATATTAGCAGTGAAGTCGACAAAAGTCAATCAAAAATCAGTCAAACATTTGCAAACACTTAACACTCAAACCATTTTTTGCTGTGATTTTCAATACAAATATTTTAATCAAACATTTTTCTCCCATTAATTAAATCAAACAAAACTTTTTGAAACAAATTTACAAAAACTTTTTCGTTGTGTCAATACTCGCTGTCATTATGAGAGTTGTGACAAAACTATTGTCTTATGGCTTGCTATCAGTGGTGCTCTTGTTTTTGGTGACAATCATCCGTACGATAGTATACTTCCCGCCACTCAAAGACGTCCACTCGTGTCCACAACTTCATGAGCCTATCGGTGGTGAGGCGGTGGTCGACCGGTTCCGGAGGGCTATCAGCTTCAAGACCATCACCAGAGCTGCTCAACAGTACGACACCGCAGAGCTTAAGAAGTACATCGACTTCATTATCAAGAGTACGAGACACTTATCTTATCTTATCTGATCTCATGTCTGACTGTCTGTCTATTAGGTTATCCGACAATCCATTCCTCATCGTTCGTGTCCTACGAATTGGTCAACAATTATAGCCTCTTATATACCGTGAAAGGCAGCGACAGATCGCTGACACCATACCTCCTGTGCGGGCACTTGGATGTGGTTCCCGTCGAGTTAGACAAATGGGATGTCGACCCCTTCGCCGGTGTCATCCGAGATGGCTTCATATACGGCAGGGGAACCACTGATGTCAAGAACATTGTCATGGTATTCATCATTTGATCCCTTATTACGCGAACCTAATAAAAGTCTAATTCATATCAACTGTCATCTCATTTAAGGCCGCATTAGAGTCGTTGGAGTATCTGCTGAAGAATGGCTTCAAACCGAAGCGAAGTTTTTACGTAGCCTTCGGTCACGACGAGGAGGCCCTGGGAGTAGACGGCGCCCAATACCTGGCCAAAGCACTGGCCGCTAAAGGTGTCAAACGACTGGAGTACCTCCTGGACGAGGGAACCATTATATTGAATAAGGCTTTCGTGGGCGTCGACGCACTGGTAGCTATGATAGGGGTCACCGAAAAGGGTTACCTCACCGTCCGTATGACTCAGAACCCATATTCATCAAAAATACTTCACAGCAGTGCGGTCCCAATCATGTAATGAAAACATATTTTCAAAATATATTCTTGGTATTCTGGCTTTCACTATTTATTTTCTATTATATAGTTTTGCAATATATATGGATGTTGCGATTATAGAGTTACAAATCCCACTCCGACTACTACTCCGACTACTACTCCGACTACTACTCCAACCACAACTCCGACCACAACTCCGACTACTACTTCGACTACTACTCCGACCACAACTCCGACTACAATCCCGACCACAACCCCCACTACCACTACAACTACAACTACTACCAGACCTACAACCACAAGTCCAGCGACCCCTACAACTCCTACAACTCCTACCACAATTAGTACAACTACTGAGAAACCATTCATACCGGAGTGCCATAGCGTCGGTACGTTTAAGTATCCAAAGGATAAAACAAACCGAAAGTATTACAAATGTGTTCTCAAACCACAAGAGATGGAATGTCCTGCGGGACAGGTATTTGTTGAAAGCCATTCACGTTGTGAACCCATAGCCACTCCAACTACTCCCACAACATTGTCGACCACTAAACCCACGACAACAATAGCCTCAACTTCTATCACACCATACATTGTGGTAGATCCAGAAATTGTTGGATTAAAATGTCCCAAAGAATATGGTACATTCCCGTACGACGAATCGTTTTCAAATCCTTACAATTGTCACAAATACTACCGGTGCTTTATCCATCCAGGCGACACCAAAGTTTATATTGCATATGGAATATGTCGGGGTGACTTGGTGTGGGACAATACCCCTGTATTTCCTGAAGTATGGCCCGGATGTATTCGTCCGGAAGATTATGTCCAAAAATACGGGAAAAAATGTGAAGCTAAATCACTGCCCACCCCTACACCAACCCCTACTCCTAAACCTACCCCTGCCTATATCTATCCAATTATATGATTTCTTTTAATAAAATCTTAAGTTTAATCCACTGTAAAACTATTCAATTAGTTGAAGTTATTTTTATATACATTAGTTCATGTGTCGTGAAAGAGTATTATAACTTTGATATTAAGTTGAATGACACGAAATGTGACAAAATGTTAAATTCAATAGAAAGCAATGGAATGACGAAAGGCACAGGTTTTTGAACTTATTCTCAATTAACCATTGATTATCACTAACTGTGTCTTAGCTATATTAATAAAACTCACTCCATTATACAGCTTTAGCTTGGTAAGTAATTGTTATCCAGGTCCGGTTTCCTAACGAAAAGTGGTTTGTCTAATATTCGGTGGTAAAGTTTGCCGATATTGATAGCTT